CTCACATAATGTGCTTTATTCTCTATTTTATTGTGATCAAGAATGCTAGTCAAAGTTGGTAAATCTCAATTATCCATGATAATGGAGACAAGAACATTGAAATAGTGTGGTATTTTAGTATACTTATTTGTAAGTCATTCACTGCACCATTTCTCTCAAGAGCTAAAGTGGAACCAGATGTTTGATTGCTTCATTGGTCTACCTTAATGATCTTTTTATACTACCCTTTACACTTCGGTAGTGCTTACTGCTTTTGACAAGATGATGGTACTCAAGTGGTTCTCAAGTTTCATAGACAACAAATGCACGCTAAGACCAGTTAGCATGAAATAAGACAAAATATCAACCTCATATCCTATGTAGGATATTACTGCCATTTACCAGACATAAATTTTTTACATTACTCAAAAATGGAAACATTTCTCTATTTTAAAAAAATTAGTAAACACATTTTATTCCCTAAAGTATTAGTATTAGCTAATGTCAAGCAGGCTCTTTGGATCAGATCACAGGACCATGTTTAATGAACCTGTTAGAGATGTTAGGGTGCTAGGCTACTTAGGTGAGCTGTTCTTGGGTTATAATCATTGGCAATGTTGTAATCAACAGCCCGTGTATTTCTACAACAGCCTCAGATGCACTCCAATATCAGCATCACCAATCAGTGCCCCCTTTCAATAGCCTCCATGATCACTCACACACACACACACACACACACTATTAAGTATCTATAAAATATTAAGCTTAATTACATGACACACATTAAAATTTTCCAATCACACAACATTCAACACCCAATTATCTCTATTTCATCATTTCCAGGAGAGCCAAATTTGCATTGTTCACAACTGCTTTTATATACAAAAAAATCACAGAAATCCATGTTAGAAAGAATAAAATATTCTAACTTCTCTTGATGTCTAAATGATGGTTTACATTAATAATCATTATAGATACTTCTGAATCCCTAATTTTACAAATGAAAACGGCTGATACTTTATGTGTTATTAGGTAGTATTTAAAAATACTTACTTTATTTATTTTCTCTTTGGGATGTGTCAGAAGTGCTGGGAAGTGTGAAAGAGCATCACAGTTCAAAACTACTTGTGTTTGCTCATCAGTTCCAGTAACAATGTTGCCCACAGCTCGAAGTGCTGCAGTCTGAAACAAAAGATGTAATGACATGTTCTATTATGAAAGATAACGCTCTTTCATTCATGCCAACCTACTGTTTTTGAGCAACTGTCTGATACCAATTTAGGAACAAAGGAGTGAACAGGACAGGGTTATGGAGTTTACATTATTGTGAAAGACAGTCAATAAACAAACAAATAAGGATAATTTTGAGTAGTAATTAGGGCCATAAAGACAGTAAGTACTTTGGATTTTTGATTCAGTGTTTCAATAAATTACAAACAAAAACACAGGGCAGGAGGGCAAGAACCTGTATGAGATTTCACTATCATATGAATTTGAATTATCAATTTTTTTATAGTTTTATCAGGTCATTTTCTCTCAAGTTAGAGCTTTTTGGGGGGGGCTAATTTTAACATTTATAAGACAAATGACTCAGTTTCCCTCCCAAATTGAAATATAATTTATATAACACAAAATTCACCCTTTCAAAATGCAGAATTCAGTGGTTCTTATACCTCCAAAGTTGTGCAACCATTATATGTAATTCCAGAACATTTTTATCACATCAAAAAGGGGTATCTGTACCCACTAGCAGTCACTCCCATTTCCCTCTCTGGTTGGGGGGGGAGGTTCCTGACAGCTACGATACCTGTGGATTTGTCTATTCCAGACATTTCATATAACTGGAATCAGACAGTAGGTAGCCTTTTTTGTCTGGCTTCCTTCACTTAACGTAATGCTTTCAAGGTCCATTCATGTTGTAGCATGTATCGATACTTCATTCCTTTTCACAGCCAAATAATAGTCCAGTTATATAAGTCTAATGTATTTTATTTAAATATTCATTAGTGGATAAACATTTTGTTTTCACTGGCTATTAACAGTAATAGTGCCATAAACATTTGTGTGCCAGTTCTTGTGTGAACATCTGCTTTCAGTTCTCTTGGTTATATATACATCTAGGAGTGGAAAATGCTGAGTTATACAGTAACTCTGTACCTAACTTTCTGGGGTACTATCACACTGTATGCCAAAGAGGCTGTACCATTTTAATTTCTATAGATGTATAAGGATTCTACTTTCTCTACATCTTTGCCAAAACTTGTTAACCTCTTTTTGATTATATACATCCTGGTGTTTATGAAGTGGTATTTCATTGCAGCTTTGATTTACATTTTTTTCATGGCTAATGATGCTGAACATCTTCTCATGTGCTTATTGACCATTTGAATGTCTTCTCTGGATAACTGTATTTAAATGTTTTGCCAATTTTTAATGGGATTATTTTTTTTACTGTTGTTAAGAATTCTTTATTTTGGACCCAAGTCCCTTTTCAAATACGATTTGCTCTTTCATTCTGTGGGTTTTCTTTTCACTTTCTTGACGGTCTCCTTAGAAGCACAAGTTTTTTAATCTTGATGAAGTCCAATTGATCTAGTTTTCTCCTTGGTTGCTTGTGCTTATTGTATCAAATCTAAAAAATTGCTGTCTAATCCAAAGTCATGAAAATTAATGCTTATGTTTTCTTCTAAGAGGTTTACACTTCGAGCTCTTATACTTGGGTGTCTGACCTATTCTGAGCTAATTTTTATAAATAGGGAGCTAATTTCATTTGTTTACATGTAGATATTCAGGAGTCTTAGCTCCATTTGTTTAATTACCATTTCTTGAAAAGACTCCTCTTTTCTAATTGAATTTTCTTGGCATCTTTGTTGAAAATCAATTGATCATATGGGTTTATATCTGGAGTCTTTTTTTTTTTTTAAAGGTTTTATTTATTTATTTGACAGAACGAGCAGAGAGAGAGCAACAGGGAGAAGGAGAAGCAGAGCAGGGAGACTGACATAAGACAGGGCTCCATCCGAGGACCCTGGGATCATGATCTGAACCAAAGGCAGATACCAAAGGCAGATACTCAACCCAGTGAGCCACCCAGGTGCCCCAACAGGAACTGCATTTAACCTGTAGGTAAATTTGAGAAGCACTGCCTTCCTAACAACACTGTCTTCTAATCTATGAACATGGATGTTTTTCCATTTATTTAAGTCTTCTTTAATTTCTTTTAAAAATGTTTTGTAGTGACCTAGATTCTTTGACAAATAAATTTAAAAGAGCAAAGAAAAATAGAATTGTAGAGTAACAGAAACATAAGACAAAGCTACCAAATGCAATGTGTTAATCTTGTTTAGAGGCTGATTTGGTCAAACTGTGAAAAAATATGAAGCAATCAGTAAAATCTGGATACTGACTGGGTTTTAATATTAAAATTAAGAAATACTCTAACAGTACTGTGATATGTAAAAACATATAACCTTATTTTTAAGAGAAGGTGGATGAAATTATATGCTATCTGGGATGTGTCAAAGTAATTTGCCGGGAAGGAGCAAGTAGGGATGTAGAGGAAACCTACATGGTGGTTCATTACAACTATTCTCTTTTCCTAAATGATGGAGTTAAAGTTGAAAAAAATTTTAAAAATCTCTACTAGGTATCGTGTAAAGTACAGAGGGCATTGAGAGCTGCTAAAGAAAAATTTCAACCCTATTTTCTGAATGAAATCCAATATTAAAACTAATGATGCATTCTGAAAAAAACAAAACAAAACAAAAATAACCAAACCAAAACCAAACCAAATACCTATACCAAGATGTAAGTACTACACTTAAGAAATGCAAACTTAATTATAATTATCTAGTATGAATATTTTATTTTTTTTAAAGTTTATTTATTTTTTTAAAAGTAATCTCTACACTTAACATAGGGCTTAAACTCACTACCCTGAGTTCAAGAGTCACGTGCTCCTCTGACTGAACCAGTTAGGTGCCCCTATTGAAATATTTTAAATGAGCCACAAATACCCATAAATGGCAAAGTATTTATTCGATTCCTGAATTCAGCTAAGTGTTCCCTCTTTCCTTAAACTACTTTAAATTTTACGGTTTGTATTCTCCATTCCAATTGTACACAAGTATCATCTGAAGAGCTTTTTGAAGCCCAGGTTTCTAGGAAATATCCCAGATTTATTAAAACAGTCTCTAGGTGTCAAGGGAAATATTTTTTTTTTCTTTAAGCTTCACAGGTCATTTTAATGTCCACCCAGGGTTGAGAAACAGGGAATTAGGTTAACAGTTTTTCCTTATGCTATTGCTGAATAGACTGTTAAGTCATCATATAATTAAAGCTTGCTGTATCTCCCTTTACCACTGCAGTTTGACAGTTACTCCTTATAATACTTGTCTGAACTTCTCACCCTCTCTTTTTGGCTCTTTCTAGATGCAGGTTTGGGATAAATATTTATGTGGAAGGATTTAAAAATAAAAGGATAAAACAAAGTTTAGAAAAGATTTATTTATTTAAAAAAGATTTTATTTCTTTATTTGGGGGGAGAGGGATAGTGGGGGAGGCAGAGGGACAAGCAGACTCCTTACTGAGCAAGGAAATGCCTGGTGGCTTGGTCCCAGGACCCAGAGATCATGACCTGAGATGAAGTCAGATACTTAAACAACTGAGCCACCCAGGCACCCCATTAAAAAAAGATTTTAAATAACTAAAAGGAAATTTAGGAAGCCCCTGATCAGTATGTTTCAGTATAAAGCCTTTATCATAGATAGTGCCAATGAAACGAAACATTAAGTTTGCCCAGTGCAGTATGGAGAGTTAAGAAAAAGAGGGGAGAAAAGGAAAAGAGTAGGAAAAATGAAGAAAAATAAGAAGCACAGAAAAAAATAAAGTATCAGTACTTGTTTCAGATGCCACCCAAGTTACCATGTGAATTTCCTAGGTCTACCTTAGAAATCAGTAATCTACTAAGGAGATGCCCTGGGTGGGGTTTTTGGTGTGGTATAAGAAAAGGGAAGGGGAGCAGTTTGGAGGCATCTTTCAGCTTGCCGAGTAGACACCATGAGCAAAGCTCACCCTCCCGAGTTGAAAAAATTTATGGACAAGAAATTATCATTGAAATTAAATGGTGGCAGACATGTTCAAGGAATATTACGGGGGTTTGATCCATTTATGAATCTTGTGATAGATGAATGTGTGGAGATGGCAACTAGTGGGCAACAGAACAATACTGGAATGGTGGTAATACGAGGAAATAGTATCATCATGTTAGAAGCCTTAGAACGAGTATAAACAATGGATGTGTTCATCAGAAGAATCAATTGCTTCCACATGGCCCCTCTCCATAGTACCTGTTTTACTACAATATAAAAATCAGATTGTGTGCATTTTCATATTGAGCTTTTTTGTTAAATAAACTTTTGTAATAGCCAAAAGAAAAAAAAAAGGGAAGGGGAGGGGGAATGGTTCTTGTTGACCTATAGTGATCTTACCTCACTTTTTCCATCTTTAAAATGGGGACTTAATACCTCATTCTTTTCATCAAAGATATGTTCTTGTTTTATTTCAAAAAGATATATGCACCCCTATGTTTTCTGTGGCATTACTTACAATAGCCAAGATATGAAAGCAACCCATGAGTCTATCGATAGATGAATGGGTAAAAATGTGGTGTGTGTGTGTGTGTGTGTGTGTGTGTGTGTGTGTATGTGTGTATACACACCAATGGAATATTAGCCATAAAGAGAATGAGATCTTGTCATGTACAACACCACATGGATGGACCTAAAGAGTATTATGCTAAATGAAGTAAATAAGAGAAAGAAAAATACCATATGATTTCACTTATATGTGGAATCTAAGAAGCAAAAGGAATAAACAAAAAGCAGAAACAGACCCATAAATACAGACAACAAACTCATGTTTGCCAGAGTGGGGGGATGGGCAAAATGGGGAGTGGGAGAGAGAGGCTTCCAGTACTCTGATGAATAAGTCAAGGGATACACAGTATAGCATAGAGAATATAGTCAGGGGTATTATAATAGCATTATACTGTGAGAGATGGTAGCTACACTTGTAATGAGCACAGCATAACTTACAGAGAAGATGGATCGCTATGCTGAATACCTGAAACTAATGTAACATTGTGTGTCAACTATACTTCAATAAAAAAGATTAAATAAAAGATTTTTTTTTAAAGATTTTATTTATTTGACAGACAGAGATCACAATTAGGCAGAGGCAGGCAGAGAGAGAGAGAGGGAGAAGCAGGCTCCCTGCTTAGCAGAGAGCCCGATGCGGGGCTTGATCCCAGGACCCTGAGATCATGACCTGAGCTGAAGGCAGAGGCTTAACCCACTGAGCCACCCAGGCGCCCCTAAATAAAAGATTTTTTAAAAGATGTGTTATTAGGGACGCCTGGGTAGCTCAGCTGGTTAAGCCGCTGCCTTCGGCTCAAGTCATGATCCTAGGGTCTTGGGATCAAGTCCCACATCGGGCTCCTTGCTCAGCAGGGAGCCTGCTTCTCTCTCTGTCTCTGCCTGATGTTCTGCCTGCTTGTGTTCTCCCTCTCTATCTCTCTGACAAATAAATAAAATAAAATCTTTAAAAAAAATTTTTTTTAAATAAAAAAAAAAAAAAGATGTGTTATTAGGCTAGAAATATACTTTAAACTAATGAAATTGTCCATTTCTGAATGCCATGCTTAAAGCAAATTAGTGGTAAACAAAGCAAAACACCTTATATTATTATCAACAACAAACTCACCTGAACTTTAACTTCCTGGTGGCTGAGCAGAGGAACCAAGTGAGGGACTATTCCAGAGTCTATTACCATCTGTATCTGTTCATTGCCAGCATCAGTAAGGTAAGAGAGGGCCCACACTGTATCTACCAATATCTAATGGATAAAATGAAAATTCAAACAGTCTTTGAATATTTTCTCACTTTAATAATTCTTAACTATAGTTAACTTATAGATAACTAATCAATGATTGTTTCTCTACCTTTCTTCCTTTTTTGTCTCACCTCAATTCACTGAAATCTTAATCTGCTCTATAATACTAAACACCATCATCTATCTCTGAATGTCTGTGTCAAGTATGTGCATCTTTTAGCCATATTTAGGATGCTTCAGTTAATTATGACCCAAGCACAGGTTAGTGTCGTCTTTTCTTTCTTTCTTTCTTTTTTTTTTAAGTTTCCAGTCTTAACTCACAAAGAGTTTGATACATTGTTCATGAAATAGGAGAAAAAGACACAGTCTTTTGCAAATGCTCACACTGAGGCATAATAGGTCCAAAGACATTGTAGTAAGTACATATAGTTGTAAATACTATATGTATTCAACATACACAGTGATTCAAAACATTGGGGCTAGATGTATACATTCAAGTTGTTTTCTAGTATCATTGGTATAATGTAGGTATGTTGAAAGCCAGTATTTCAGTATTAGGAGTATAGTGGTTTCGTCTTTTCCAATCAGTTTGCTTTGCCTTAAAAAACTGGAGGCAACTTCTCATAGTGGAAGCGTCCCACAGTTGCAGATCAAGACATTAAAAGCAACCATAGATCAATCTGTGTGATCTATAATCAAAAACATTCTAGTAAAAAAAAAAAAAAGGCATAATTTACAGCATCTGCCAAAACTATTTATAAAAAAAACTCCTCTGCAATTAGACTAAAAATTAAACTATCATTTTAAATGTTAGAATTCTTAATGAACCTTATTGTGAAGTTCAGCAGGCCATTGTGTTTCACCTTTCTTTTGTATTAAGTCATAATTAGAAGTTATAACCAAAAGAAAGTATGACAACTGTTAAACTGTTGCATAAATAGCATAGTTACTGACAAATATACAGGAATAATAACTGTGCCTGGAATTTTACTTCTGAAGCCTTTCTGGAATATGAACTCTATGTGTCAAAAGACAAGTCAGAAAATTTTGAAAGCTTTTAAATTCTAAACTAATGTTATGTTTAAAACATCTGAGAATCTCCTAGAAGAAGAAAACAACACTTTGCCACTGTTTCTTTCAAAAACTCAATAAAGTTCTTTGGCTATTTTTAATCTAAAAAGAAGACACCAAATCAAAGAATTCACACACATAAAGTGGTTATCAAAATTATGTGAAAGAACTAAATTTCAACTTACAAATGTGAATCTTTTTTTCAGAGTACTAACATATGCCAAAATTTGTTGATAGAGGCAAAAAATTTCAAGTTACTTCTCCACGACTGTACATAAAGTCCAGATACAATTTTTTTTAAAGGCCCAACACTAAACATGAATATGCTCACATCAAAATCACAATTTAAATAGACTTGACCTCTTATATACTTCTTGAATTGAAGTTAAAAGTCTATGATAAATTTACTAATTATAACTATACTGTAATTTAAGCGTTTCATTTATGATTTGTAGAAGCAGTTTTATTTATTTTTTACTTCTTTCATGGTCTGGTTTAAGAATTTGCTGCTAAATGTTTACCTAAGAAGACTGCATTTTCAGTAAACATTATTATATAGTAAACTACTCAGTACATAAATTACTACAGAAGAACAATGAGACCAGCTTGAAAAATTCAAAATATATTAAAAGCCAAGAAAACAGAGTTATAATCTCAACTGGACTGGGGTAAACAGGTGGAAAGAACACAATACAATCTCTGAATAAGGTCAACCAAAATGTCTAGTTTTTGGTAGAGGTATAAACTTTGAGATTAATCTTCTTTGGAACTCATTTAAAAGTAAAATATTAAAATTTCTGGTTTAATAAAAATACGTGGCACTAAGGAGCAAACGCCCCAAATAGCTTTATATATTTTAAGGATTCTAAACTAACGGGATCTAAAACCAAGTATCTTTAGAGCAACGATCATGTTCACCTAATGAATTTTATACATTTTATCACTGCATGATGTAGTGGAATTCTAACTTTAATTTGTTCCATATGCGTTAGAGAGATCCTGGAAAAATGTATTACCCCAGAAACTGAAAAGGAATGAAGCAACCTATCAAACACAGGTCATCACCCCAAGCTGCTTTTAAGGAACTAAAGTTCCTGAATGTTGCTATGCACTGTATTCCTGTGATTTCTTTTACCTGTCATATTCCTAGCTTTTCTAACACAATGATGGCAAAGCTGGTTTTATAAGCAGTCAGATTCCCACTTCATTCATACTTTATGAGGTGCTTTTTCCTTTGCCATCTGTGTTGGTTAGAATGAATAAGGTATATTTATTATGCTTAAAATCTAGTCTGCACAAATTTTTTTCTTGTTTGGATATTTATGAGTTCTCTCTATAACATGTGAAACCACTATCACAGTAACTATAGATGGAAAAATATAGTAAAAATAAATTCAAGACCAACTGATATTCTTGGATTGGTGTACGCATATGAACACAAACCCATGCACAAGGCACAAGTATTTTTTTTAATCTTTCAAAATATGAAATATTATTAGGCCTATATATTCTCTCAAACACTGGTCAGGCCATCAAAATGAGCTTCCATAAAAAGCTCTTGACCAATCAAAGATATAATTTTAGTGAGATGGATCATTAACTGGCAACTTTAAGAACTTCCAAAATGAGTTTTTAACTGCCCCAACTCTCCACATATGTTATTGCCCAGACCAAAATATAGTTGGGCTTGATTTCTTCACTGTAAATTGTATTTGTGATACAGGTAAAGACAAAGTAAATACAATAATAGTAAGCTATGTTATTACAACTCTTGAAATGGAAAAATCTAATCGAGTACATGAACATTATGTCCAGTATAACATTTTCTTCCCTATGTCATAGGGGCAACCCTAGACATACATATTATACACATAAAAAATACTCACATTTACGTCCGTGTGATGAATTAAGACACAAAGAGCTGGAAGAATCTGAAGAGAGAAATATATAGATTTAAAAACATACATAATGGTATCCAGTTTAGTTAAAAAACAAAAAAGACAAAACACAAAACATCTGTTTACCTCCTGAATGGTTTCCATTGGGGGTGGTGGATCTTTATGGCGACATAAGTTGACCATTACCCAAGTAACATTTCTTAAGAATGTTATAGGAATAGATGGACTTATGAAGGAAAGTAAAGGTTTCACAACTCCAAGACTTATGACATAATCTCTACACTGTGGTCCATCACCTGTAGGAAGGAGTGAAAATACACTGACAGTAAGGAATTAAGAAAACATAAAGCACTGGGTTGAACATGTTGCTTTCTGTATTTTAACTAGACACACTAGTTTTATATAGAAGTTTTAGACAACAATAACCAAGTTCTCATTTTAGGTCTCTGAGACAAGAAAAGCAACATAAAGTAGTAAGATATTTTTTGCACATTATTCACTTATTCAATAGGTTTATAAATTGTTCACCTATGTTTTTGTGCCATTAAAAGTTAGAAGCCTAAGTATCCTTTAGAGTACTTTGTG